GGGTGCAGCAGGGAGGGTCCCCCCCCGTACCGGTGTGGATGAGGATGTGCCTCTTGAGGTGGTAGCTGCTGCGGAAGGCGCCCAGGCAGTGCTCGCAGATGAAGTTCTTCGGGCTCTGCGCCTGGAAGGGGCCGTTCTGCTCCATCACCAGCACCTATGGGGAGAGCATCCCCCCCAAACTCATGTCAGCACACAAGGAAGGGGGGGCAACAGATGCCCCCCCCCCCCACTCCAAGCCAAAACCACCCCCCCCCCCGGCCGTCCTGCGCCTGCCGGAGCTCGGGAATGCTTCCTCCTCCTCCTGCTCCTGCTGCTCTCGTGCTGCGCGGCCGCAAACCTGGCTGCCGAGGCGCGGTCCTCTCCGCGGCGCGCTGCCGGGTCCCTCGGCGCCGGACACACGCTTGCGGCGCTGCGGGGCACCCACAGTCAACCCCCCCCCGGCCCTCAAAGTGACACCCCCCACCTCCCCCCCCACCCACCAGGCACAGGGACAGCCCAAAGTGACCCCCCCTTGGACCCCAAAGGGATGCCACAGAGGCCAAACCCCAAAGTGACATCCCTGGGCACAGGGATACCCCCAAAGTGACCCCCCCCCCAGGCACAGGGACAGCCCAAAGTGACCCCCCCTTGGACCCCAAAGGGATGCCACAGAGGCCAAACCCCAAAGTGACATCCCTGGGCATAAGGACACCCCCAAAGTGATCCTCCCTGAGCACAGGGACAGCCCAAAGTGACCCCCCCCCAGGCACAGGGACAGCCCAAAGTGACCCCCCCTTGGACCCCAAAGGGATGCCACAGAGGCCAAACCCCAAAGTGACATCCCTGGGCATAAGGACACCCCCAAAGTGATCCTCCCTGAGCACAGGGACAGCCCAAAGTGACCCCCCCCCAGGCACAGGGACAGCCCAAAGTGACCCCCCCAGGTACAGGGACAGCCCAAAGTGATCCCCCCTTGGACCACAAAGGGATGCCACAGAGGCCAAACCCCAAAGTGACATCCCTGGGCATAAGGACACCCCCAAAGTGATCCTCCCTGAGCACAGGGACAGCCCAAAGTGACCCCCCCCCAGGCACAGGGACAGCCCAAAGTGATCCCCCCTTGGACCCCAAAGGGATGCCACAGAGGCCAAACCCCAAAGTGACATCCCTGGGCATAAGGACAACCCCAAAGTGATCCTCCCCGAGCACAGGGACAGCCCAAAGTGATCCCCCCTTGGACCACAAAGGGATGCCACAGAGGCCAAACCCCAAAGTGACATCCCTGGGCATAAGGACACCACCAAAGTGACCCCCCCCAGGCACAGGGACAGCCCAAAGTGATCCCCCCTTGGACCACAAAGGGATGCACAGAAGGCAAACCCCAAAGTGACATCCCTGGGCATAAGGACACCACCAAAGTGACCCCCCCCAGGCACAGGGACAGCCCAAAGTGATCCCCCCTTGGACCACAAAGGGATGCACAGAAGGCAAACCCCAAAGTGACATCCCTGGGCATAAGGACACCACCAAAGTGACCCCCCCCAGGCACAGGGACAGCCCAGAGTGACCCCCCCCTTGGACCACAAAGGGATGCCACAGAGGCCAAACCCTAAAGTGACATCCCTGGGCATAAGGACACCCCCAAAGTGACACCCCCCCCCCCCAGACAAAGGGACAGCCCAAAGTGACCCCCCCTTGGACCCCAAAGGGATGCCACAGAAACCAAACCCCAAAGTGACATCCCTGGGCATAAGGATATCCCCAAAGTGACCACCCCCCCCCCCCCAGCCCAAGGTGACCCCCTGGACCCCAAAGTGATGCTGCAGAAGCCAAACCCCAAAGTGACATCCCTGGGCACAGGGATACCCCCAAACTGACCCCCCTGGACCCCAAAGTGATGCCACAGAGGCCAAACCCCAAAATGACGCTCCTTGGCACAAGGATACCCCCAAAATGACCCCCTAGGCACAGGGACACCCCCCAGACGCAAAGCGACAGCCCAAGGGCACAAAGTGACACCCCCCAGACCCCAAAGTGACACCCCCAGAGGCCCTGGTGACTCCCCACACCCCAAATTCCCCCCCCCCCAGGAACCAAAGTGGGATCGGACCCCAAAGTGCCCCCCCAAGCCCCGACCTGCCTTTTTACTGGACTTCTTGATGTGCGTGGCCTCGGGTGCGTCCTCGTCCTTCCGACTGCGTGGCTTGTCCGAGTCCTGCCGCAGTGCCTGGGACGGGAATGGCACCGGATGGGGGGGAACAGGGGGGACATTGCATTAAAGAGGGGGGAAAATCGACTCAGAGGAGGAAAACGGGAGTTGAAGGGGGGGAAGTGAATTAAGGGAGGGAAAAAGGTGAATGAAAGGGGGGAAAAGTGAATGAAAGGGGGGAAAAGTGAATGAAAGGGGGGAAAAGTGAATGAAAGGGGGGAAAAGTGAATGAAAGGGGGGAAAAGGGGAATGAAAGAGGGGAAAGTGAATGAACAGGGGGAAAAGGGGAATGAAAGGGGGAAAAGGGGAATGAAAGGGGGAAAGGGGGAAAAGGGAAATGAAAGGGGGAAAAGGGAATGAACGGGGGGAAAAGGGAATGAACGGGGGGAAAAGGGAATGAACGGGGGGAAAAGGGAATGAAAGGGGGGAAAAGGGGAATGAAAGGGGGAAAAGGGGAATGAAAGGGGGAAAAGGGGAATGAAAGGGGGAAAAGGGGAATGAAAGGGGGAAAAGGGGAATGAAAGGGGGAAAAGGGGAATGCAAGGGGGGAAAAGGGGAATGAAAGGGGGGAAAAGGGGAATGAAATAGGGAAAAGTGGAATAAAAGGGGGGAAAAAAGGGAATGAAAGGGGGGAAAAGTGAATGAAAGGGGGGAAAAGTGAATGAAAGGGGGGAAAGGGAAATGAAAGGGGGAAAAGTGAATGAAAGGGGGAAAAGTGAATGAACGGGGGAAAAGTGAATGAACGGGGGAAAAGTGAATGAAAGGGGGAAAAGTGAATGAAAGGGGGAAAAGTGAATGAAAGGGGGAAAAGTGAATGAAAGGGGGAAAAGTGAATGAAAGGGGGAAAAGGGGAATGAAAAGAGGGGAAAAGTGAATGAAAGGGGGAAAAGTGAATGAAAGGGGGAAAAGTGAATGAAAGGGGGAAAAGTGAATGAAAGGGGGAAAAGTGAATGAAAGGGGGAAAAGTGAAAGGGAAAGGGAAATGAAAGGGGGAAAAGTGAATGAAAGGGGGAAAAGTGAATGAACGGGGGAAAAGTGAATGAACGGGGGGAAAAGTGAATGAACGGGGGAAAAGGGGAATGCAAGGGGGAAAAGGGGAATGCAAGGGGGGAAAAGGGGAATGAAAGGGGGAAAAGTGAATGAAAGGGGGAAAAGGGGAATGAAACGGGGGAAAAGGGGAATGAAAGGGGGAAAAGGAGAATGAAAGGTGGGGAAAAGCATCATCGGTGAGGAAGAAGGTGGTTGAGGGAGGAAGAAAGTGGCTTGAGGGGGGAAGAAGGGAGGTTAAGGGAGGAAGAAGGGGGGTCAGAGGCTAAAGGCAGCGGTGGGGGGGGGTCCATACCAGCACATCGGGGCTGCCCCCCCGCTCCCTGCTCTCCCCTTGCTTGGAGCTGGGCTTCGGCATCATCTTCTTGCTGGCCACGGTGGGCACGAGGCACACTCCGGACAGGCCCTCGCAGGCCAGGAGGCTCGCCTGGGGTGGGGGGGGAGAGAGCAGCTCTGCTGCAGACCCCCCCAAACCCCCCCCAGCACCCCCAAACCCCCCACCCCAAAGGTGCCAGCACCACAAACCAAACCCTTTGCCGGGGGCCGCACACGACCGGGCGCTGAAATGGGAAGGGGGGGGGGGATAAGAGGGGGGAGAAGAGGGAGGCTCGGGGCCCCCCCCTGCCCCCCCCCCAACCCCACACACCCCCCCTTTGGCGGGGAGCTAACGGCTACCGGGAGAGCTCCGACGATCCCTGGAACAACGGGAGAGCGCCGCCGGCTCCGGGAATAGAACCCGGGGTGGGGGGGCGCGGGTGAGTGATGGGTGATGATGATGATGATGGCGCGGGGCTGTGGGACAGTGGGGATCGGAGGGGAGTGGGGGGGTGGGGGGGTGGGATTTGGGGGGGAAAGCCCCCCCCATGGCCATACCTCCTTGGGAGCTTGGTGTGGGGTGGGGGACACGGATTGGGAAGGGGGTGGGTGGGTTTTGGGAGGTGGGGGGGGGGGGTGTAGATTTGGGGCTCATTACCTGAGCCATCTTGGGGCTGTGTGTCTGTCTGTCTGTCTGTCCTCGACAGAGGGACTGTGACAATTCTTTAGCCTTACGGTGGCCCCGGGAAGGGCCTTTTTAACCCTCCGAGGGGTGGCCTCAGTTAAGGTGTTTTAGGGATGTTTGTGCCGGGCTCATCCAGTACCCGCCACTGCGCCGACATCTCGGCCCCGGTGCCGCCGGCGCGGTGACGAGCGTCTTCCTCGGCCCCCCCCAGCAGCAATCACGTACGGTGGCGGGGGGGGGGGTGGGGGGTGTGGGGGGGGTGGGGGGGTGTGGGGGGGCAGCAGCTTCCTACTAGACAGGAGGGGACATCGGGGGTGTTGTCACCCCCACAGCCCTCAAGGGCATCACCCCACACACACGCAAGGCCGGGGTGGGAGCTGGGTCCCGGCGCTGCTGCTGCTGCCACCAGTGCGGGTCTTCGCCTGTGGGGAGGGAGGAAATGGGGTTAGGGGGGTATTGAGGGGGGGGGTATGGGGGGTTATAGGGAGGTTATGGGGGGGAGTAGAGATGGGGTTATAGGGGAGTTGGGGAGGGGGTTAAGGAGGGTATTTGGGGGGCTATGGGGGGGTTGGGGGGGCTAGGGAGGGTTTAGGGAGGGGGGTTGGGGGGTTAAAGGAAGGGTTGGGGAGGTTATGAGGGGCTGGGGGAGTTCTGAGTTATTAAAAGAGGGGTTCAGGGGGTTATAGAGTGGAGGCTTGGAGGGTTATGTGGGCTATAGGAAAGTTATGGGGGTTATGGGGGAGTGTGTGGGGGTTAGAGGGAGGCTTGGGGGGTAAATCAGTTATGGGGGGTTATAGGGAGGTTATGGGGGGGTTAGAGTGGAGGTTATAGGGAAGTTGTGGGGGGTTAAGGAAGGTATTGGGGGGGCTATGGGGGATTGGGAAGGGTTTGGGGGGCTATGGAGGTTTTAGGGAGGGGATTTGGGGGGTTAAAGGAAGGGCTGGGGGGTTATGGGGAGTTAAAGAAGGGGTTAGGGAGGTTATGGGGGGCTGCGGGAGTTCTGAGTTATTAAAAGGGGGGTTGGAGGGTTACAGAGGGGGGGCTTGGAGGATTATGGGGGCTATAGGAGGGTTATGGGGGGGCTATAATGGGGTTGTGGGGGTCATGGGGGACTGTGTAGGGGTTAGAGGGAGGCTTGGGGTGCTACATCAGTTACGGGAGGTTCCAGGGGAGTTCTGGGGGCTTAGGGAGGGCTTTGAGGGGTTATGGGTGGCTATGGGGGGATTAAGGGGGGTTGTGGGGGGTTATGGGGGTTTGGAGCGTTAGGAGAGGTTATAGGGGCAGTATGGGAGGTGTGAAGGGGCTTTTGGGGGGGTTATGGGGGGGACCCCCAGGTTTAAATGGGGTGCTGAGCACCAAGTGGGTGCCTCACAGGGAGACGTTGGGTGGTGGGAAAGGGGGGGTGGGGGGGAGATGGGGAGGGCCTGGGGGTGCGAATCAGGGGTGGGGGGGGTGACTTTGGGGGGCGGGGGGGGTCCAACAGGGTGAGGGGGTCACGGGGTGGGGGAAGGTCACATGATGGGGGGAGGTGAAGGGTCAATAGGGGGGGTGGAGGGAGAGCAAGAATCACAACTGGGGGTCACACCGGTGGGGGTCGGGGGGGGGGTCACTACGGGGGCAAAGGTGACACCCTCCCCCCTTTCCCCTCCCCCCACATCCCCTCCCCCTCCCACTCCCGTCCCGGTGGCCGCCGGGTGGGGGCGGGGCCGCCGCGCGCGCGGGAGGGCCCCGCCAACCCCCACTTAGGCCGCGGGCGGGGAGGGGGAGGGGGAAGGGCTCGGTCCGTACCTGCCGCGGCCGCTCCTGCCCCGCTCCTCCCCGCTCCGGCCCCGCTCCGCTCCTCTCCGCCGCCGCGAACGGGTCCAGAACCGGCCCCGCCGCCCCCCCCCCCCGTCCTCGGCCGCCGCCGCCGACCCGGAACTGGAAACGAGCCCCCCCCTTCCACCCGCCATTCACAGCGCTTCCGGCGCGACGTGCGCATGCGCCGTGGTGCCCCTCAGATGCGGCGCCATCTTGGCGCCCGGCGGTTGCCATAGCGACGGAGCGGCGGCGCGGCCTGGTCCGGTTCGGCCGCCGGGCAGAGCCTGGGGCTGCAGCGCGGAGCGGGGCCGGGCGGTGGCGCTGGGGCCCGGGCTGGGCCCTGCCTCCCTCCCCGTCACCTCCCCGTTCACGTTATTGCCCCCGGGGTGAGGCCCCGCCTGCCCTTGGGGGGGCGCGGGGGGGGGTGTCACCCTACTGTGACCGCCCCATGGCGAACCCCACTCCATTGCACCCCCTCGGGGTCGGTCCCCTCTTTCCTCTGCACCCCCCCCCTCGTTATTGCTGCCCCTCCCTGTGGCAGCACGGCTCCCCCTTGGGGGCACTGGGGACAGGCCCCATGGCGGCGCTGCCATGGGGCCGAGGGGTGGCACCACTTGGGGGGCCGAGGGGTGGCACTACTTGCCCCCCCCCCCCCCCCCCAATTCCTTGGATGCGCCTTTAAGAGCCGCTTCTCCCTGTCCCTGGACTTTGTCCCTGTGCGAGGCCGTGTCCCCAGGGACGATCCCGGAGCCACCATCCCATCCCGCGGCCGTGATCCCGGGGCTGGGAGAAGGGGGTGTGTGTGTGGGGTGACCCATGGCTGAAGAGACCGGGGCCGGTGCCATGGCCGGGCTGGAGCATCCCGGCTGGGAGGCGGCAGCGGGCGAGGAGTTCCTGCGGGAAGCGCTGCGGGTGCTGCTGGAGGAGGCCGTGAGGAAAGGGACGGATGTGACCGAGAAGGTGAGGGGGGGAAGCGGGAAGGGGAGGGGGGGGGAGGCTCCCGGCCGGGCCCCGCGGCCTTCCCGAGCTCGGGAATTGCGGGGTCCCGCAGGTGTGCGAGTGGCGGGAGCCGCTGGAACTGCGGGAGCTGCTGGACCTGGAGCTGCGGAGCGGCGGGGAGCCCCCGGAGCGGCTGCTGCAGCGCTGCCGGGATGTGGTGCGGTTCAGCGTGAAAACCGGTGCGGGCCCTGGGGCCGGGGGGGAAACAGCGGGAAAGTGGGGGGGGAACGGTGGGAAAGTGGGGGGAAACAGCGGGAAAGTGGGGGGAAACAGCGGGAAAGTGGGGGGAAACAGTGGGAAAACGGCGGGAAATGGGGGGGAAACAGTGGGAAATGGGGAGGAAACAGTGGGAAAGTGGGAGGAAACAGTGGGAAAACGGGTGGGAAACAGCGGGAAATCGGGGGGAAAAAGTGGGAAATGGGGAGGAAACAGTGGGAAAGTGGGAGGAAACAGCGGGAAAGTGGGGGGGGAAACAGCAGGAAAGTGGGGGGAAACAGCGGAAATGGGGGGGAACAGCGGGAAAGTGGGGGGAAACAGCGGGAAAGTGGGGGGAAACAGTGGGAAAACGGCTGGGAAACAGCGGGAAATGGGGGGGAAACAGTGGGAAATGGAGAGGAAACAGTGGGAAAGTGGGAGGAAACAGTGGGAAAACGGGTGGGAAACAGCGGGAAATCGGGGGGGAAAAGTGGGAAATGGGGAGGAAACAGTGGGAAATGGGGGGAACAGCGGGAAAGTGGGGGGAACAGCAGGAAAGTGGGGGGAAACAGCGGAAATGGGGGGAACAGCGGGAAAGTGGGGGGAAACCATCGGGAAAGTGGGGGGAAACAGTGGGAAAGTGGGGGGGGGGAACAGCGGGAAATGGGGGAAACAGCGGGAAATGGGGGGAACAGGGAAATGGGGGAAACAGGGGAAATGGGGGGAAAACAGTGGGAAAGTGGGGGAAACAGCGGGAAATGGGGGGGGAACAGCGGGAAATGGGGAACAGCGGGAACAGGGGGAAAGTGGGGGGGAAAACAGCGGGAAAGTGGGGGGAAAACAGCGGGAAATGGGGGAAACAGCGGGAAATGGGGGGGGAACAGCGGGAAATGGGGGGGAAACAGGGGGAAAGTGGGAGGGAAAACACCGGGAAAGTGGGGGGAAAACAGCGGGAAATGGGGGGGAAACAGCAGGAAAGTGCAGCAGGAAAGGAAACAGCGGGAAGTGTGAACCGGGAAAGTGCAGCGGGAAATTGCAAACAGCGGGAAATGCTACAGCGGGAAATGAGCGGGAAATGGGGGAAACAGTGGGAAATGGGGGGGAACAGTGGGAAATGGGGGGGAAACAGCGGGAAATGGGAACAGCTGGAAAATGGGGGAAAAAGCGCAAAATGGGGGGGAAACGGGGGGAAAGCAGTGGGAAAACAGGGGGGAAACTGTACTTCCAGTGCAGCCCCAGCGCTCCCAGTGTGAACCCAGTGCTCCCGTTGCAAACCCTGTGCTCCCAGTATGAGCTCAGTGCAGCTTTGAGTGCCCCCAGTGTGAAATCAGTGCTCCCAGTGCAGCCTTAACTGGTCCCAATGTGAACCCAGTGCTCCCAGTACACCCAGTTCAGCCCCAGTGTTCCCAGTGCAGCCTTGATTGGTCGCAGTGCTGCCCCAGTGCAGCCTTGACACTTGCAGCTACATGGGTCCGCACGGGTCCAGGTTCAGCCTTAACTGCCCCCAGTTCAGCCTCAGATGCTCCCAGTGCAGCCCCATCTGGCCCCCGGTTTAAGCTCTGTGGCTCCAGGTTCAACGCTTCCACTCCCTACAGCTCTATGGGTCACACGGGGCCTCCATGGGTCAGTGGGCAGGTCCATGGGTAAGGGGGGGTCCCGGGGTCCCTCCTGTCACGGTGCCCCCCCCGCAGGTCACCCCCGGTTCTTCAATCAGCTGTTCTCGGGGCTGGACCCACATGCACTGGCCGGGCGGCTGCTCACCGAGGCGCTCAACACCAGCCAGTGCGGGGGGGGCATCATCACCATGGGGGGGTGGGCCCCACATCCTCATTGGGAGGTCCCCATTGTCCTCATTGGGGCGGTCCCCAAATCCCCTTGAGGGGGTCCTCATCCTCCCCATGGAGGGGTCCCCATTATCTCCATCATCCCCATTGGGGGGGGAATATCCGTTGTTTCCATGGGGGGTTCCCCACATCCCCATGGAGGGGGGCTCCATCATCCCCATGGTGGGGGGTCCTCATCCTCACTGGGGACACATCCCCCATTGTCCACATTGTGGGGGTGCCCACGTCCCCATGGTGGTGGGGGCATCATCGCCATAGAGGGGTTACCCACATCCCCAGTGGGGAGGGTCCCACTTTCCTTATGGGGCCGCCACATCCCCATCGTTGGGGTTCCCCATCGGGAGGGTACCCTCTCTCACCCCTATGGGGGGCTCCCCCCACTGGGAGCATCCCCAAGCGGGGGTGTGTGTGTGTGTGTGTGCCCCCCCTCAGGTACACGTTCGAGGTGGCACCAGTGTTCGTGCTCATGGAAGGGGTGGTCCTGGCCAAGCTCCGGGAGCTCGTGGGCTGGAGCAGCGGCGACGGCATCTTCGCTCCTGGTACCGGCACCGGCACCACACAGGGGGGTGTCCCTGTGCTCCCCCCCCCCGGGATAACACCAATCCTCGTCCCCCGGCAGGAGGCTCCATGTGCAACATGTACGCCATGAACGTGGCGCGGTTCCAGCGCTTCCCGGAATGCCGGAGCCTTGGAATGACGGCGCTGCCGCGCCTGGCGCTCTTCACCTCCTGCGACGTGCGGGCACCCGCGGCACGACCGTCCCGTTGGCCCCATGGCGGGAGGGGGCGGCACATCTCCATCTGGGGGGGTCTCCATCATTCCAATTGTCCCCATCTGGGGGGTTTCCCATCATCCACATGAGGGACACCCCATCATCCCCTTGGGGGGGTCCCATCATCCCCAGGGCGGGCCTATGGAGCATCCCCATCGGGGGGTGTTCCATTGTCTCCATTTGGGGGGTCCACATCACCACCGCAAGGGGGGAGGCAGATACCATCCCCATCAAGGGGTGCCCCATCGTCTCCATCGAGGGGGGGGTCCCCACCATCCACAGGGATTTGACCCCCCCCTCTCCCTGCTCAGAGCCATTACTCCATCCAGAAGGGAGCCGCGTTCCTGGGCATCGGCACTGACAACGTGCGCCTGGTGGCCACCGACGAGAGGTGCGAGCCGGGCTGATCCCGGTGGATCTGCGGCTCCGCTGCCCCGGCTCTGCTCCCACCATGGGTCTGTTCCCATCCCGCAGGGGGAAGATGATCCCTGAGGAGCTGGAGAAGGAGATCCAGAAGGCCAAAGCCGAGGTGAAGGGGTGGCAGCCTGGATGTCCCCCTCCTCCATCCCAACGTCCCCTGTCCCATCCTGATGTCCCCTGTGCTGTTCCAGCATCCCCTGCCCCACCTCAAAATCCAGCACCCCATCCATCCTGACACCCCCTGTCCCATCCTGGTGTCCTGCAGGGTGCGGAGCCGTTCCTGGTGTGTGCCACATGCGGCACCACGGTGTTGGGTGCCTTCGACCCTCTGGGCGCCATCGCGGATGTGTGCGAGCGCCATGGCCTCTGGCTCCATGTGGATGTGAGCACCGGGAAGGGGGGAACACACATGAATCCCTTTGGAATCCCCCTGTTCCCAGCGCTGATCCCTATCCGTGTCCCTGCCCACAGGCAGCGTGGGGCGGCAGCGCTCTGCTCTCCAGCAAGCACCGGCACCTCCTGGCTGGCATCGAGAGGTCAGCGCCACTCCCGGCTCCCAGCACCCCACAATCCCAGGATCCCAACTGGGGGGGACCCCCTCTTCCCACAGGGCCCACTCCGTGACCTGGAACCCGCACAAGATGCTGACAGTGGGGCTGCAGTGCTCGGCATTCCTGCTCCGCGACACCTCCGTGCGTGCCACCGCCCCTTCTCCTCCTCTCCCACCACTGTGCCCTGCCCCATCCTGATGTCCCATCCCAATGTCTTCTGCCCCATCCTGCTGCCCCATCCCAATGTCTCCTGCCCCATCCTGATGCTTGATCTCGACACCCCATCCTGCTGCCCCATCCCACGTCCCATTCACACATCCTGCTGCCCTATCCCCACTCCCCCATCCCATGTCACATCCCCTACCCCATTCCATGTCCCATCCCCAAATCCCAATGTCCCATCTTCTACCCCATCCCCTTCCCCATCTCATGCCCCATTCTCTGCCCTGTCCCTTGTCCCATCCCCACATCCTGCTGCCCCATCTTCCTGCCCTGTCCTCTATCCCATGTCGCATCCCATACCCCATTCCCTGCCCCATCCCACAAAACGGGGGTGTTGCCCCCAGATCCCCCCTAGTTGCTAGTTTCGGGGTGACCCCTGTGCCCCCCCCACAGGGTCTCCTGCAGCGCTGCCATGGCTCCGGAGCCACGTACCTCTTCCAACGGGATAAGTTCTATGACATGTCCTACGACACCGGGGACAAGACCCCGCAGTGCGGCCGGCGCGTGGACTGCCTCAAGCTCTGGCTGCTCTGGAAAGCCATCGGCACCCAGGGGCTGGCCCAGCGTGTGGAGCGAGCCTTTGCCTGCACCCGGTGGGTCCCCGGGGCTGGGAATGGGGGCACACAGCCCATGGCCCCTCTGCTCCTTTGACCTCCTGTTCTGCATCATCCCAGGTACCTGGCAGAGGAGGTGAAGAGGAGGGATGGCTTCGAGCTGGTGATGGAGGTACGGAGCCACAGCAAGGGGAGTTTAATGTGTATAGCCCCACACATCACCCCACCATGGCCCTGTCGGGGGGCTTTGTATGACCCCCCCATATACCACCATGCCATGGCCCTAGGGTGGGTTTAATGTGTCCCCCCATTTAATACCCTCCAGCCATAGCCAAGGGAGTGGTTTTAAACCATTCCCCATTTAACACGACCTATCCATGGCCTTGGGATGGGTTTTAATGTGCCCCCCATATAGTGTTGTAGGTCCAGGAGTGGTTTTTAATGCTCCCTTGTACAGCATCACCGAGTGCTGGGCAGCAGAAGAGACCTGTCCCAAGCATGGGGGTCCCCACATGGGCCTGGGGGTGGGAAATGTTGTGTGTCCCCCCGTGTGTCCATGTGATCTCTTCCCTTTTCCTCTTCCCCCCACCCCCTGCAGCCGGAGTTCATCAATCTCTGCTTCTGGTTTGTGCCCCCCAGCCTGCGGGGCCGTGAGAGCTGCCCCGACTACTGGCCCAGCCTGGGCAAGGTGGGAGCTGGATCCACTGGGATCCTTGGGGGGCGGGGGGGTGATCCCAAACCCCCTCCACCCCCCCAACCCCTCTGTGTGTGTGTCCCCCCTCCGCAGGTGGCCCCTGCCATCAAGGAGAGGATGATGAGGAAGGGCTCCATGATGGTGGGGTACCAGCCCCACGGCACCCACGTCAACTTCTTCCGCCAGATCGTCACCAGCCCCGCGGTCACCAGGGCAGACCTGGACTTCTTCCTGGATGAGATCGAGAGGTTGGGATGGGACCTGTGAGCCTCCCCCCACAGACCCCCCCCATCCCTGAGGAACAGGAGCAGAGCTCCACATCCCCCCTTCTCATCCATCCTACCTCCAATCCGGGTTAAAGATACTCCAAAACCTACCAGGATGGGGGAATAAAACCATTTACTGATCCATTTTGGGGGTGCCCCCCCCCCCCCCAGGAAAGGAAGGGGAGGACTCATTCATCAGTCCTGGAGCAGGTCAAACACGTTGGGGTCCATGCTGGTGGGGTGCAGGAAGATGCAGTCGGGGGGACATGGCTTTGGCCTCGTGGCACAGGCTCCATGTGCGCAGCATCTTGAAGCTCTGGAGCATGATGCTGTGGGGATGGTCCTCCTGGATCTGCTCCAGGCGGTTCTTCTCCAGCTTCAGGCACATGATCCCAGCCTCCTGCCACTGCCTCCCAAATCCACATAGGATCCCTCTCTGTTAAGCGACGAGGAGGTGGTGTGATGGGGTGACATCGGGATGCAGCAGGAGCACCCATGAGCTCCTCCTCCTCCATCCCAACGGTGTCATCCTCATCCCGGAAGCACTGGAGCAGGATGGAGGCCTCCTCCCTGGGCCCTCTCACAGCCCCTCATCCGGTGCACAAGGAATGCAATGCAGCCTTGAAGCCAAAGGAGACAAGAAGCAGGATTTAGCCACACGTGTGCCCAGTTACAGGATGGAGCATGCTCCGGAGCTCTGGACCGCTCCTTGAGACACCTCAGTGGTCATGGAGCCACTGCAGTCGCTCCAGCAGGGAATGGGCAATTGCCTGCTTCCTGGAGCAAGGAGCAGTGGCAAAGGCTGCCAAAAGTGAGGAGCAGGTCACAGACCAAAGAGAGGAGATGAGTGGCAGCCTGCAGCCATGGGGGTGTAGCATGGGGCAGGTAAGGGGGTGAGGAGGGAAAGATGGGGACAGGGAACCTGACAGCAAGAAAGAAGCAGCAGAAGTAGGGAGGAGAGGCAGGGCTGAACAACAAGAATAAGGACAGGAAGGAGGATGGAAATGCAGGAAACCAGGAGCAACGAGAGGAAAACAGAGGCTGGAGTGAGGACAGACACAGACTGACAGAAAACAGCGACAGGGAGCAGAGCGAGCCAAAACAGGACAGCAACAGAAAGAGATGGATGCGTATGAGGCCAAGGAGCTGGGAAAAGGAGAACCAGCGATGGACAAAAGAGGGAGAGGGCGCAGGACACACAAGAAGAGGACGAGTACAGGGGAGCAAAGCACAGGAGAGGAATGGACAGGGAGGGAGGGAGCAGGACGCGCAAGGAGCACCAGCGTCCAACAGCTCAGGACTCACCGCAGCTCTCGCCACTGATGAGTGAGTGCCAGCTCGGATGCTTCTTTGCCCTCCCCTCCTCTTGCACGGCTCACGGAGCTGTTCCCCACCTACGAGAGCACACGGTGGCGAGGGCTCAAAGCCCAACGCACGCAGCACGGCCATACCGTGGCCTGCTTTGAGCCGTGGAGGGGAACCTTCCACACCCAGGTTCTCTCAGCACGGTGCTGCCGCATGGGTGCCTTCCCCTTCTTCTTCTTCACCCCTCTTCGGCCTCTCCGCCTTCAGCTCCAGCCCGTCCACAGCCACCGAGCGCTCCCTCTTTGCCCACACAAACCTGCTGCAGGCGCAGTCAGCAGCACCCCCCCGGCTCCCCAACGCCAGCGGGCAGGGGACCCCCCCCTGCGCCCACCGAACGGGCTCGCTCGCCCCCGGTACCGGGACCCTCGCCCTGCAGCGCCGCCATCGCTGCTCCGCATGCCGACGGCGCGCCGGAGGGGCCGAAACGCCGCACGGAGAACACCGATCCCCGGCCCGTAGCACTCGGGAACGCCCGGCGGAGCGGCGGCGGTGTTTCCTTACCGGGATAGAGCAGCGAGCGAGCGGCACAAGGCAGCAGGAGCGCACCGGGGAATATAACAGCGCCATCGCATATGGGTAGAGCCAGGGCTGCAGTACTGCCCTCTGACCACGGGATGGCAGCAGCAAACGGCGCTCACACCTGCAGTACCGAGGTTTGACCACACGATGGCAGCACCCGCTCGCTTACCCGGTACCGCGGAGGCTCCGCGGCCCCGTTCGCACCCTCCGGGGGCAGCAGCTCCTTTGCCGTGGGGACCGGGCTGGCGCTTCCCGGCCCCTTTACCGTATCCCGGCTCCAACAGCCGCTGCCTCCGCACCGGAACCCATCCCAGGCCTTTGCCTCTGGAGGCAGAACAAAGGTGGGGCTGTTCCGGGCCTGCTCCCCAAGCACAGAGGCACGTCCATGGTCAAGATGCTGCCGAGACGATGACCGTCGCTGGCGGTTCCAGCTGTGCTCTGGACCAGGGTGAAGCTCTGCAGCCCCTGCCACTGCTGCCACAGTGCCACCAGCATGGCAATCCACCCTCGCTTTGCCACCTGTAACTCCAGAGAGGCACTATGCAGATGGAGGTTCAGGTTCTGGTGTGGTATGTCTGCCTTCCTTTAGCTGGTTTATTCCCTTAGGGGGTTGACTTATGTTGTCACCAAGAGGACATTTCCACTGTGCTCCTGCAGGAGGGATGGGGCTAAGAACCATCAAAACCCACCCAGAGACCCCAGAAAAGCCTCAGAGCAGTCCCAAACCACCCTGGAGACCCTGCAATGAGTCCCCTGTGCTTGCTGCAGTGCCAAGGGGGTGGCCCCATGGCAAAAACCAAAGCCCAGAGCAGCCAAGATGAAGGAAAAGCTTCAGATCCAAACGTAGCCCCATAGGCACCGAGGCAGGGCCTCCACTGGCGTCACTGTTGCTGGACCCCCAGGAGGTTCCTTCCTGCAACCCCTTCAATGGGCATCCCTGTGTGGTTGGATCCCCAGCCCCAAGGCAGGGCAGGAGGAGATCTTGGTCCCAGGGCGAGGGTTAGAGGGAGAGGGGGGGAGCCGCACAGAGCTCCTGGTGCAGGGATCCAGCTCGGAGCCCATCTGCAGGGGTAAAGAAGCACTCGGCTCACACTGCCCTGAGAAAGGGTTTAATGGGGAGGGGAGGCACTGCTGCCCCTGTCAAAGGGCTGGGGGGATGCTGCGGGGGACACACACGTAGGCACACTATGTACAGAGCCACACAGGTACCCCCAGCTCCCTGCCGCCATCCCTGTGCTGGGGATGAGCAGGTCGAGGGGAGAGCCAAGCAAGGAACGACCCCGGTCCTGGCAAAGACTGGGCTATGAGGAGTGGACAATGGGAACACGGGGACGGCGCCTGCTCCCACGCCTGGGAAGGGTGGAACTCTTTGGTTTCGACATTAAGACTGAACAGGGCCACCGCTTCCAAAGGGCCAAGGGAGCCCCAGCAAGGTTCCAGGCACTGGGAATGGAAGCGCTCGGTGAAACCATTCTCTCCCCAGTGCAAGACGTGGCCTGAAGCACCCGACCGGGGCTGGGGCCGGGGCTGGGCCTCAGCAATGTCCCCCCCTCCCCACACATCCGCATGCCAGAAGGGCCCAAACGTGTTTGGTGCCCCCCCCTCCATCCCCTGCGGTGCAGACGGGCCCACCTGATGCCCGGTACCTCCTGCTTAAGACAGGGAGTTGAGGAAATGGCTTTCCCCTGCCAGGGTGCTCAGCATGGAGCTCATGTCCCCCACAGCCATGTTGGCACCCCCGGATGCAGGCAGCAGAGCCCCAGCAGGGCTCGGGGGCCCCGGCAGCAGCGCGGGCAGCTCCGGTTCTTCCACGATGGCAGCAAAGTCAAGGTGCGTGTTCTCCAGGTCCAAGGAGTCCAGGCTGTTGGCCACTTGCTCCCCCGAATCCAGGTAGTGACACGAGCTGCCTTTGAGCCCCTCCATGCTCCCCCCATAATGCCCAGGAGCCCCACAGCTTGCTGCCGTTTGGCCCAGCAGTTTATGCCCACCTTTGCCCATGTGTGTGCCCTGGGCAGGGTAATAATGCAGGGCGTTATTGGGCCCCTCAAGTGTGGGGCGGGCAGGGAGCAGGCGATGCGAGCGCCGGGAGCTGGCTTCCATTGCCTCATAGGAATGGCTTGGCTGGGGCAGGTGCCCTGCGTAGTTCAGGTTGTTCGGGTGCCCTTGGGGTTTAGGGCCGCCGGGCGGATGCGGCCCCAGCTCAGGGTTGAAGCATGGGGCATGCAGGAGGTGCTGGGTCTCTGGCAGAGCCTGCGGGTTCTCTGCTTTGGGTTGGTAACCGGGGCACTGCACGGCGTGGCACTGCCCGGGCTCGGTGCCCGGGCGCAGCGCAGCCTCCCCTCCCTTGGGGGCTGCTTGGGCTCCCCACATCAGAGCCTGCTGGGCCTGCACGTAGCTCCGGACCATCACCTCCTTGCTCTGCATGGTGGGGGTCTGGTCTCTTCTCCCGCTCGGGCTCAGCATGCCCATGTAACCCATGGGCGCCTGCTCCTCAGGCTGGAAACCTCCGTGCCCTGCGTTCACGGCTTGGCCGAAGGATGCCGGAGGCTGCAGGTGCCCAGCGAGTTTGGGGTTCTGGCAGGGAGCAAGCGCTGGGGTAGGGGCTGGGTACCGCTGCTCTGATTTGATGTGAGGTCGGTGGAGCCGGTGCCCCCCGGGGTACCCGTTGTCCTGGCACGAGCTCACAAGCCTGGGCTGCTGCCCGCAAGCGCCGGGCAGTTGGTACTCGGTGCTCTGATGGTGAAAGGGTGACCCAGCCATGGCACTGACCCCGGGCTGCCCGGAGCTCATCTCCACGTTGCTTTGGGGATGCTCATCCCACGGCGCAGGCACGGCCCCGGCGCCAGCGTGCAGCGTGGTGAAGTGCTGGTTCAGCTGGCACTGCGGGAGGCAGAACTCGGGCTGCAGTAAACCCTCCTCCATGTCCCTGGGGCCTCCTGGGTTCAGCTGCAGGCACGCCGCGGGCCGGTGGCTGCTGCCATAGGGAGCTTCACACTGGAGCTCCGCGCCCGCCCTATGGCACGGGAAGCTTTCCTCGGCGTACTCCAAGTACTGCTCCAGCCCTGCCAAGGCAGGCTCCGGGCCTGGGCTCTCCAGGAAGACGTGCTCAGCGAAGCCTCGGCGCTGCAGGCTGCCATCGGGGCCACCCAAGGGCTGCAGAGCGGCTCTGCCGGCGCCCGGCGCGTTGACGTTGCCCACGCTCTTGAAGCGATGCACCCTGGGCGCAGCGGGAGCGTTGGCCGCGCTCCGGGAAGGGTCGCTGGCCCGGCGCACGCTGCTGCGAGGCACCAAGGGATGGGGAGCAGCGCCCGCGCAGCCGGGGGGGTCATTGGAGCTGTGCCTCCGCAGCAACCCATTGGCGAGGGCGCGGGGCTCCGCCGGCCCGGCGCAGTGCCCTACGAAGCTGCTGTGGGCACCCATGCCCGCCCGCTCCACGCTGGGCAGCGGTGTTGGGGGGGGACCGCCTGTGGCCGCGGCGTATTTGGCCTTGAGACGATAGCGCTGGGCTGGGGTAAGGCTGCCCACCCCCGGCAGCCCCCCGCCGTGGCTGGCATCGCTGGAGCGTCGGGATGCATCCGGAGAGATGGGGTCGTAGCCATCGGGCAGGGCTGCGGCGCCGGGCAAGGCCCCGGCCTCGCCGCTCGGGTACGGGCCGGGCAGGTACGGGGACACCAGGGACGAGCGGCGGCTCACGGTGTAGGCTGAGCTCACGGTGCTGGTGCCGCTGCTGCGGCGCTCGCTCAGAGTTGTGCTCATCCCTGCTGCCGCCAGGCGCCGGTGCGAGGCGGCCGCCGGTGGCCTGGGCATCTCCCCTGGAAAGAAAAGGAGGAGTCGGGACAAGGGGCACGTGGCCGTGCGGCCGGGAGCAGGATGCGGCCTCTTCCGTGGTTAGTGCCTGGCCGGGACAGGAGGCAGATCCAGGGGTGGCAACAAAGAGGGGGCAGAAGATCGTTTAGAATCAATGAGGTTGGAAAAGACCTTTAAGATCGAGCCCATGGATTGGGGGGGTTCCACCACGAGCGAAGGGAAGGTGTGGAAACCCCTCTGGCTGCAAACCAGACTTCTCTTGGCACGGGACCGGCCCCGTATCCGGGTGGGAGGGAAGCGCAAGCTCACCGGCTCCGGGGATAGGTGGCAAATTCAGGCCCTTGGGAGCTGATGGCTTCCTCATCTGCTTCAGTTTGTCGATGCGAAGGTTCTCCAGCTTGTGGAGGGCCATGAGCCCCGAGGTGCCCATGGGCTCACCGGGCGCATCCTCCAGTGTGGACAGGTCCTCGTAGCTGCCGCCGGCGTTGCCGGCCATCTCCACCCCGCTGTCGTTGTTGGTGGTGCTGCCGAGGGGGGAATGGCCGCTGCTGCACGATGACTGCCCGCCAGGGCTGGGCTGGGGCTTCTAGGGGGGACCCAAAGACATGAACCAAGGAGAAGGGGGTCAGACACCCACTGCGAGACCCCGCTCCCATGCAACCACCGCAGCTCCTTACCAAGGCCAAGTCGGGCACCAAGAGTTTGCCGTCATCCTTATGGCCGTCGCCGGGGCCGTTTGTGTCTTTCTCCTGCTTCATGTCTGGGGGGCCGCTGGGGGTGGGCAGGGGACGCCCCGGCACCGCGTCCCCTCGGTGCTTCTTGGTGACGTGGGCATCGGGGCCGTGCACCGTCTTCACGTGCTTGCGCAGCGAGCTGGGGTCCGTGTAGCGCTTGGTGCAGCCCGGAATCTTGCACACGTAGGGCTTCTGTCGGGGCACGGGGGGGGGATGAAGGTGCTAGCGCTGACCAGAGACCCCTGGGCGTGCAATGAACACCCCTCCCAACCCTCTTCAACAAGCCCAAGAACGGAGGGTAAGGAGGGATCCAAGAGGCTGAGTCCCCTTTGGATGGGGGATGAGGATGCTACAGCAGGGACTTGGAGGAGGTCACAGGCAGCTGATGGGGTTAAAGGGACCCTGGTGGGATTGCAGGTGACGGAGGGAAGGAACAGGGCCCAGCTATTAGAACACCCAAGGGACACGGGGAGTTTTCAGAGCACAGGACTGCTTAGGAGGCCCAAGGGGAGCCCAAAGGGTGCAGAGAGCCCCGGGCGGGTCCGTACCTCATTGGAGTGAGTGCGGTTCTGATGCTTGGCCCGGTCAGAAGCGTTGGAGAAGGCCTTGTTGCAGCCCTCGTGTTCGCACACGTAGGGTTTTTCGCCCGTGTGCGAGCGCAGGTGGGTCTTGAGGTTCTCCAGGCGTGAGTAGGCTTTGTTACAGCCCTCGAACTGCACGGGTGAGGAGGGTGAGAGGGGCCGTGCACCTCGCACAGAGCCTGTAGCACACCTGCCCATGTCCCCCTTATGGCCATGGCATGCCCCTCACCACGCGCTGCCCCGCTGGGCTGTGGCCAAGCCTGCTCTGCACCCCTTTACCTTGGGTGCATTTCTGCTGTGGCACTGGTTACACACTGCCACACGTGAACCCCACTCCACCATAGGATCACGGAACGGTTTGGGTTGGAAAGGACCCTGAGATCATCCAGTTCCACCCCCCAGGGACACCTCCCACTAAACCCAAGGCTTCATCCAACCTGCCCTTGAGCACCGCCAGCGATGGAGCATCCACAACTTCCTTGGGCAACCCATTCCAGTGCCTCAGCACCCTCACAGGGAAGAGCTCCTTCCTTATACCCAACCCCATGCACCACCATGCTCGTGTCCCACCTCGTTTTCCCAGCTCAGCCGAGGCGTTGCAAGGGCCCTTGCCAGCTCACCGTGCACTTGTGGGGCTTCTCGCCCGTGTGCCGTCGCATGTGCACCACCAGCATGTACTGAGCCTTGAAGGGTCTCTGCTCCCGGGAGCACGCTGCCCAGTGGCACACAAACTCCTTCTTCTCCCCATGGATGTGTTCGTTGTTGATGTGCTGAGGAGAGAGGGGCGTCACCAGAGGCTGAGACGGATAGAGGTGCCGATAGAATACCGTGAGGGAATGGACAGAGAGGGACTGGGATGGTGGCTGGGGACACCAGGGGATGGGCAAAAGCAGGGTGGTCAGATGATGTCCACCAGTGGATGCAGGAGGTGGTTTTTGGGGCTGTTCTGGGAGGCCCGAGAGAAGACACAGGGGTCAAGGTGGCCTGAGGTGTGGTGAAGGGGATATAGAATCGTAGATGAGTTTAGGGTTGGAAAGGACCTTCAGATCCTCCAGTTCCAACCTATATGACAGCTATATAGGACAGTTGTAATGTCTGCAGGGAGACAAAGAGCAGAGGAGGGAGTCTGGCTGCATCAGTGGTCCATGAGAGCTGCCACAGGCATGAGGACGGCCGGATGGGATGTACCCCTTAGGGACACGGTATGGGAGGGCCACAAGAAGTGGAGGATGCAAATCCTTCCATTCCTAGGGGCCGCTTCCAACAGGGTGCACGTGTGCTGAGCTCTTTGCGTAGGGAGGGGAGCAGCTCAATATAGGCCAGTAGGAGCTGTGGGTGCACAAAGGGGGGATAACACCCAGAAGCCTGAGGGCACCCTCTGCGCCTGTGTATAGCCAGGCAGGACCCGACTCACATGCACGAGCTGCTCCTGCGTGTCAAACTCCTTGGCACAGCCATCCCAGTAGCAATTGGTTTCGTACACAGCCTCCGACTCGGGTTTCCCATCCTCCTTCTCCAGCTCTTCCCGAGCATCCAGCATCCCCAGCAAGGGGTCCTGGGGGAGCGCAGTACCCCGAGGTACGTGCTCCCGTTACTGAGAGTGGTGCCAGGGGGAAGTGGGGTGGGATGGGGGGGGTCTCAAGGCTTGGGCAGTACCTGGGTGCCTGTGGAAGCTGGACTGGAGATGTCACCCTCGGATCTCTCCTCTGGGTATTTGCCAGCCAAGGGGCTGCTCAGGCTCCACTCCAGCTTCAGCTGCTACCAGGGCAGGGGGGAAAGCAGTGAGCACCGGGATGCTCGCTGGACCACCGCTGGCACGGGCGCAAGGGCCCCTTACCTGGCACTGCTTGAGGGTCCCACGAGCTGGGGTGTGATGCAGGAGCCCTGGGCGGGTGGACAGGGCTTCATGGGAGCTGCATGGTGGTGCTGCTGCTGCGCTGTGGCTGTAAAGGTGGCCTTGGCCCTTCTGCTGAGCCGGGGGACTCTGATATCCCAGCGATGGGCTGCAAGGAGCGAGAGGGATGAGCAGGTGATGCCATCGGAGCGCAGGGATGCCAGGATCCACCATCCCGCTCCGCTCCCACCTTCCCCCAGGCATTCCCCAAGCTGGGAATGGGCATTCAGGCTCCCAGCCTCAGCGCCTGCATGCGTGGTGCCCACCTGATGGTGCTGATGGAGAGGTGGCCATAGGAGCCACTGGCAGAGGCACAGCGGGAGTTGATGAAGGCCACGAGGGAGTTGGGTGAGGTGCGGATGACCGTCTGCAGGTCAATGCTGGAGTCTGACAGCGGTGAGATGGACAGGGCCCGCTTCTTGCCCAGCTTGCCTGCGGCACGGGGCGTTGAGAACCGTGAGCCTGGGGTGGCAGCACAGAGACCCTCAGTATGGGTCCTAGGAGGCTGAAGAAACCCCCAGGGACACAGTCCTGGTGCCCTGGAGCCTAAAGGAGGACCCTGGCTGTGCCAGTTCGCTTCTGGTTTAGAATGGAAACGGGGTATTTCAAGTGGAAGGGACTACAGCGATCATCTGGTCCAGATGGCTGACCAGTGTGGGGCTGTAGAACCCAACACCTGCCCAAGGCACTTACCATCACCACTGTGGTGCTCGGCTCCTGGCACCAGCCCATAACCACGGTGACCACTCATAAGGTTTGACTGGTGGCATAAGGGGAAATCGAGTCCTGGCAGGGGCGAGGAGAAAGACGGGAAGAGCATAAGGGTGGGTGGCACGAGGGGGAAGGAAGTCCCTTGAGCACCCCTGAACCCAAGCACTGAATCTGAAGCCGGATGCTCCTTGCTCCGTGCCAGGCACTGCTCAGGTACCAGGCTGAGGGGGGATGCGACCGACCTGGTGGTCCCGGGGCACCTGGAGCTATTCCATGGGGCGGGCGCAGGCAGCAGCGCTCGGCGTAGCCGCTGCCCGGGGGGCTGACGGGGTTGAACATCTCTCGGCGGAGCCTGCCCAGGCTCAGGAGCGCATCGGGTCCGCGCTGTGGGGCTGGAGCCGGCGGGCGCCTGAAGCAGGGAGGACAAGGGTGGGATGCGCGCCCCGCGCCCGCCAGGGAGCGCAGCAGCACCGTGCCCCGCACCCGTATCCGCACCCCGCATCCGTACCCGCACCCTGCGCCCGTATCCGCACCCCGCATCCGCACCCGCATCCGCACCCCGCATCCGTACCCGTACCCGCACCCTGCGCCTGTATCCGCACCCGCATCTGTGCCCGTATCCGCACCCCGCATCCGCACCCCGCATCCGCACCCGTACCCGCACCCTGCGCCTGTATCCGCACCCGCATCTGTGCCCGTATCCGCACCCCGCATCTGCACCCCACATCCGCACCCGCATCCGCACCCCGTATCCGCACCCGCACCCTAAAAGCTCCCAGCGTGGCCCTGCCCTCACCCTCTGTGCCCCCCCCGCAGACCCTGCCCCACTGCCAAGGGGGCACTGCCAAGGTGGGGAGGGAGGGTCGGTGACAACAGGGAAACGGCGTCACCCGCATCTTGGGGCACAGACAAACATCGAGGGGCCCAGGCAGAGGAACCGGGCTAGGGACCACCTGACTCAGCTCTGGGGACCCCTGCCCTGCCATCGTGGCCCCTGGCGTTTACTTTCCCTTGCTCCCTCCCACATGCAGATATCCTGGTGCTCCCCCCCCCCCCCCAGGGTGCTTCCCCCTGCCCTAAGGGCTCCCACTTTCTCCCTGGACCTGGGGGGGGGCATTCCCCACACTTTGCTGGATGTTCCTGGAAGGAAGAAGGGGATGGTGCAAGAGGAGATGCCTGTGGAGCCAGGGCGCAGCCCCCACCGCATCCCTCTCCTCCTTCTGCTGACATTGCAGAGACATAAACCATGCAGAAGGCTGCATGCCTCTGGTGGGCAGGGTGGGGACAGGAGGTGCAAGCCACGGTGGTTCCGTATCACCACAGCCACCCGGCTCCATCACCCTCTGCAAAGCAAGCCTGTCTGTCCCCAGGCACCTCAGGGAACGAGCACAGGGCACTTAACACACCCTCAGCACAAGGAGCACGGTACAGACCAAACCATTGCCCAGCTCCAGGCTGCCTCTGAGAGCCTGGCACAAGCAGTGATGCTGTTGTAGGGTCGCCCGTCCCACAGCTCCCCGGATAGGGACTTAGCAAGGTGGCCTCACGCTCGGTGCTGTACTGCAACACCAGTGTGCGTTGCAGGAGGGGTGGAACACGCACACGTGCACCCAGACACCCGCACTCGAGCGCACACACACATGGGTGTCAAACCTGCGAGCCCGAACTGCCAGAACCATTGAGCATCCATGCTCAGCGCTGTGCTCTGCGCTCCTCAATGGGGCCCTGCAGCAGCAGCACGTCCCACCCAAGCCTTGCCTTGCCTCCTGGTCCCCACCCTGCCTGCAGGTGGAAACCCTGCCCTGTCCCACCCTCCATCGCAGCCCTGCCCACAGGGCACAGCCCCATCCCTGCCCGCAGGTTCCTGTCCCTCTGCCCGGCTCTCGCTTCCGCTCATCTCCAAACCATGGCTGCACCTTCGGGTCCCAGCCTACATCTCCATCCCCTCCCATGGGCACTGTCCTGCCCCAGGATCCCTGAGGGCTTGCATGAAGGACGGGAGCTCTGGAAGGAGGAGCAAGCACAGGGTGGGTGGCACTGGGAACAAGGTCTCCTGTCCCCTCAGCCTCTCCCCTCCCCTTTGAGAGACCCCAAACAAGGGGTCTGGGGCAGTGGGAGCCCCTCACCCCGCTGGGAACGGTGCTGGGCTGCGTTCGGAGCACGAGGGGGCGAGGGGGGCTGCAATTCTTCCGCATGAGTTGCCCCTTTGAAAGCTCGTCTCGGGGCTTTGTGCGAGTGTCAGCCAGGAAGAATGGGGCAGGGGGGGCAGCAGGGCAGGCAAAGAGGGAGGGAGGGACCCGCGAAGGTGATGTGGTGCTGGGGACAGGCAAGGGGAAGAGGAATGAGACTATGGGGAAGGGGGAGCAGAGGAGGAGCCTCTTACCTGCCCATGGAACCTGGGCCTTGATGCAAAGCCTGGGGAGTAGCTGCAGGGGAAGGCTCCCATCTGCTCCCCCCCCCAAATCTAACCAAGCCCCTCACAGAACTCTGTCCTGTTTTGGAGTCTCTGCATGCAGCCATCCACGTGTATGCGCAGGGATGCATGAACATGCATTTGCACCTATGCAGAGAGCAGCTGGGAGATGACGGGGGGTGGTTGGAGACCGGCAAAGCCAAAGCTCCATTATCTCCCCTGCCTAAGAACCATCACCTGAGCTCCCGCAGTCTGGGCCCATCACCAGCTCCTCACTCAAGTGAGAGCCCGCAGTTTGGTACCAGGGACTGTGTGCACCCAGCCCAGCCCAAAGAGGAGGGGGCTGCAGCACCAGTGTGATGGGGGGCTCTGCCCTGGGCCCAGCTGGTCCCAGCAGTCTCCAGCTCCAGGCAGATGGGGCACCATGTGTGGGGCATCTCCTGCTTCCAGGACCAGGCTTAATTCCCCCATCACCTTTGCGATGTCTTCTCGCCCTTGCCGTTAGCTTCATTTCATGCTGTGCCATGCCTGGCACGCACTGTGCTGCACACGTGAGCACGTGTGTTCACCCCTGCACAGTGACCCATAGTCCCTGCCCAGCCGGCTCCAAGCGGGATGCTCAGGGTCCTGCTGTGCCAAGACAGCTTCTGCTCCTGAGCGCAGGCAGAAGGGAGGAGCCGGGCAGGGAGACCCAGCCTGCAAGGGCAGTCTGGAGGCAGCGGGAGCAGGGGGGCAGGATGGCAGCGACCCAGCTCCTCAGGGTGCCACACATTTCCCCTGCTGAGCACCAGCATGCTGGGGTGGGGTGGCGGCGCAAGGCAGAAAGCATCAAACCCAACACCCCCCCCCACCAAGTTCCATCTACTCCCCCCAGTGCAAAGGGTCCACAGGGCATGGTGGGGGGGGCAGAAAGCACCAAGGCTCCCCCCAAGTCCCAGCAGTTCCCCCCAATCCAAAGGGTCCGCAGGGCATGGGGGGGGCAGAAAGCATCAAGACCCCCCCAAGTCCCATCTGCTCCCCCCAATGCAAAGGGTCCACAGGGCATGGGGAGGGGCAGAAGGCATCAAGGCCCCCCAAGTCCAAACTACTCCCTCCAGTGCAAAGCGACCACAGGGCATGGTGGGGGGGCAGAAAGCATAAAGACCCCCCCCAGGTCCCATCTGCTCCCACCAATGCAAAGGGTCCACAGGGCATGGGGGGGCAGAAAGCATCAAGACTCCCCCAAGTCCCCTCTGCTCCCCCCAATGCAAAGGGTCCACAGGGGATGGGGGGGGACAGAAAGCATCACCCCCCCCCCAAGTCCCCTCTGCTCCCCCCAACCCAAAGCATCCCCAGGGGCTCCCCGGACCCCCTTTAGCGGGGGAAGCCGGATGGGGCCGGCGGCGCGGGGGAGCCAATGGGAGCGGGGCCGGCGGCTCGCCCACCGCGGCGCTGCCTCCCCCGCCCGCCGCGCAGCGCAGCTCCGCGGCCCACCCAAGTCGCAGCCTATGGGCATGAATGCGAGCGCCGGGCGCAGCCGGGATGCGGGGAAGCTTCCCTCGGCCTCCTCCTGCCAAGAACCTCGAACTGAAGCGCATTCCTGCTCCCCTCTGCCAAGAAAACACGGAGCGCAGCCAGCGGCGCCCGCCGTTGGAGCTGGGGCTGGCTCCAGACCCTGAACTCCGGAGCAGGAGGGGGGGGGGGCAGGACTCAACATCCATCCTTTCCCCCCACCACCACCACCACCACAACTCCTCCTTCCTCCCATCCCAGCTCCTTGCCTTTTCTTCCCTGCAAACACATCTAAAATGTGTCATCTGGCGCCAGTTTCCTGAGGACACCGGGGAGCGGGGAAGGGGGCAGAGAGGGGGAAGGAGGTGGAAGCGGGCTCGTAGCATGGGATGGCAGCGTTGATGGGTGGTGGAACCACCATAGGGGAGCCACGCAGCCTTGGGGGACCGGGGTGTGTGCGCACTCAACACAGGCTGCAGCGGGGCAGACCCCCAGCCCAGCTCCCACCTCGCACCAGGGATGCTCCTGGCTCCCAAAGAGCCCCTGGTACAGGCAGCCCGCAGCAGTGGGTGCTGTGCGGCACAGCGGGGTGGCTACCACCCAGCCCAGCGCCTCGGCATTGATCCCATCGCCTCCTGCCCCGCGCCCAGCCCCGGTAGGGTTAACCACGCTGGAGTCCCACTGTGGAGGAATGTGATGTCAGGGTTGGATTAGCCCATGCGGCCTCCATCCCAGCCACGATCCCAGCCCATAGAGCAGCAGCGCTGAGCTGTGTGTGGCACAATCCATCAACCCGCCCAGCACAGCCCCCAGCATGGGGGGCCTGGAGGAGGGCTCTGTGTGTGCATGCGTGGGGGCATCTGGGTTTCTGTAAGCACGAGCTTGGCCATATGTGTCTGCATGTGCGGAGAGGGGTTTGTGCTTAATGTGCATGGTTTTGGGGGGGGGGGGTGTATGCTTGTGTGTATGTACACACAGAAGTGTTTGCATGTGTGCTTGTCTACATACGAGTGGGATGTTCCTATGTGCATGTGGGGAGCTAGAACGTGTTTGCAGGCCCATTCACCCCAAGCCCTCACTCACTGATGAAGCAGGGAGAGGCAGAGAGCAGAACCAGCAGGGGCTGGGGAGGGGGGGGCACCCCAAGAAGCCCCCCCTGCACATCCTTTTCACCCCCTAAGGAGAGGTGGGCTCTAGCCCCATGATAGCCAAAGCACTGAGCCCTCATCTCTACCGCCTTGTGACCCCAGGTCAGCCACATGCCCAATTGGTTTAACCCTCTAAGGCCTTAGGGAAAACACTGCTCTGGCTCCGGATCTGCCCTCCTGCGCCGGGGCAGCGGCTCAGGCAGCAGCTCTGCATGCACCGAACAGAGCACACGGCGCAGGCTGCAGCAGCGCAGCTGGAAGAGAGCCCCTGTGGCCACCCAGGACCAAGGGCACGCACGGCAGGGCAGGGAGGGGCTGGCAGCATCACCGCTCCTCCAAGCTACGGTGTCTCCTGCCCGCGGTGCAGCCCGAGCCAGCAGCCAGGGGAAGGCACTGACAGGCAGAGATGGGGAAATTCCCCCTTGGAAAAAGCCCCTTTCCGTGCCCTGGGAGCGGGTTGGAGGCAGGGCAGCGCGCTCTGCGCTGGGGTCTGCATCCCCTGAACCCCACGAGCTTTCTCATCCCTGCCTCCTGCAGCAGGGATGCGCAGACCTCCCGCCCAGCCGCCTCGCTATGGGTCTGACCCCAGTGTTAGGCCAGGCTTTAGGGCGAGCCCAAGCTCCTCTGCATGGGGCAGCTAATCTGCCCAGGACTGCAGCTGCCACAAAGGACATTGCTTCAGGTTCAGGGGGTCTGAAAGGGGACGAGCCAGGGTCATGAACCCATGCTGGTGTGAGCTGCCAAGCTCGTTCCAAGGTGGTCCCTTGCCTGGAAAAGATGAGGCAGGGAAGAACCAACTTCATGTGTGGAGGGAAAGGGGCAGATCCCTCCATGCCAGAAGAGGTGCAGGACATCCTCCTCTCCCCACTCTTCTCCCACCTTCATTCCCCATCCCACTCCTCTCTGCCCTCCACACCACTTCCAGTACGGACCAGCGGTCCCTTCCCAGCACACCCAGCACCCCAGCCTTGTGCAAGGCACCGTGCACCACCAGCCGTGCACCTCACCTCAGCAGGGGGCCAAACGATCCAGCCCCTCGCTCCCACATGCATCCACACCCACTCATGACCAGGCTCTGACATGCCTTTAGACACGTTAACACACGCTAACACACGTGTGCCTGGCGAAGAGGGGAACGCGGGGCTGCAGTGGCTCCCATGGAGGAGGGCTGCAGGGTGGGAGCTCCCATTTCCCCCCCCACACCCTAAAAGCAGGGTCTGCCGGCCCTCAACCACAAACCGAGCTGCTCAGGAAGCCGTGGCAAGCAGGGCAGGAGCCGTGGTGCTTGATAGGTGGTCCCAGGGCCGGCAGGCGATTGTCATGGGCTCGCATGGTATTTGCTTTGGCTGCCAGCGCGCTCACGCTTAACCCCTGCCGATTGCTCACACGAAGCCGTTTCCCCTGGCCCTGCCTCTGCTGGGGTAAGGTTTTGGGGTGAGGGTAAGGGGGGGGGGCGGACACGCACGGGAGCAGCTGCTCCAAGGAATTTTTATGTTTCCCCTTCCCTTCGCAGCGCTGGAGGGAAGCAGCAACATGGAACATGTGGGACCCATAAAAGCCCGGCTCGGAGTCATGGCTGCTCCTCCCCATGGCATCGAGGCATCGTCCCCAACCCAGCCCCACGGAGGGGCACCCCCCAGCATGGGGGCTGCGGTGCAGGGGTTCCTGCTGTCCCAAGGGAGAGGAGGCATCTGCCCCCTCATTGCACTCACGGGGGGTCACAGAGCCCCCTCCCACCCCAACAGCTCCATCCTGCAGGATCCCTCCGAGGATGGGAAGAGGAGGATGCGCAGGAGCTGGCAGAGACCTCAGCAGCGTTAAAGGCTTGGCTACACACCAGCAACCCCTTTTAGTCTGGGGAACTGCCTGTCTCTTGATGCGCCAAGGGCAGGGCGAGGGGAGCACAGCACAGGGGGATGTAGGGAGCATAAACTGCTCCTCCTTTGGGGCAGGAGCCACCTCTGTCTGCCCAGAGGCGGTGGTGGGGCTGCTCCCCAATGTCCTCAGCGATCCTGTGCCTGATGGGGCTCTTTAGGCTCTCCAGGAGTATCTGCCACTGACAGAGGTGGGTGCGCAACCGCCTGCCCTCCTGCTCCTTGGTTGGAGACCTGTGATGTCCACGCATACAGCCCCATCTCTGCCACTATGGGGGGCACCAAGCAGGGCTTTGCTCCCCCTGGATGAGGGTAGGAGGTTGCTGGTGGGATCGCACCACATCTGGAAGCATCCCCCCAGCCGCAGCCTCAAAGCTGGATGCAGCAGGGCTGAAACCTGACTCTGTTTTTGCTGCTTGTTCCCACTCAGAGGCAGCTATTTTATCAGCTGTTGGCCCTGTTATTGCGCGGCTTCTGGCGGGGTTTGATGTGCCCTAAGGATTGGGCTGTGAGCTGTGAGCATCCCTGGAGAAGAATCCCCTCCATCTCACCCAGGACCACCCCAATGGGCCTCTTCCATCTACCAAATCGCTGGGATTTTGCCAAACACCAGCAAAAGCCATAAAGAGAAACTGAGGCACACAGAGAGAGAGGCTCCAGTGGCACAGATGCAAGACACCAACAGACATGCACACAAACAGGCGTCCATAGGGGATGCTCTGGGTGTAGGATTGCCCTCCCTTCTGACCAACTTCCACACACTTAAGGTTTCCCTCTTTTACTCTGTGAGATGGACAAGAACAGGCCCAGGGGCCTGTGGAAGGAAGGAAAGACAACAGCAGAAATCCTTTAGGGAAAGCTGACAAGCCAAAAACAAAGCTGGAGAGGGGCTTTGGACAAGGGATAGAGGGAGAGGACAAGGGGAATGGCTTTAACCTGCCAGAGGGCAGATGGAGATGAGCTCTTAAGCAGAAGTTGTTCCCTGTGAGGGTGCTGGGACACTGGAATGGGCTGAACAGAGGAGGTTTGGATGCTCCATCCCATCAAGGCCAGGTTGGACGGAGCCTGGAGCAAGCGGCTCCAGTGGAAGGTGTCCCTGCCCGTGGCAGGGGTTGGAGCTGGAGGAGCTTTAAGGTCTCTTCCAACCCAAACCTGGTTCTATGATATTCACGTGCATGTGAACACGGTCATGTCCTGAGCTGCACCGTGTCACACATCCTGGAAGCACCAATCTCCCCTCCCCAAGCCAGAGCTTGGGCTGCCCCAGCACGGCAGCACAAGGTACCGGCGCTGACTCGCTCCCCCCTTGGAAACCTGTGCTCCGGGGAGGTTCTGACTGCTCAGCCACATCCAGCACCAGGACAGGGAGGCAGTACTGAGTTAGTTCCACTGCCTCCCACCAGACCAGCTACAGGGGCCTGGCAACATCAGCTCCCAACCTGCTCCTGGTCCTGCGCTCGTCTTTGTGATGGAAAAGATGGAGCATGGGGGAGATGAGGACCAATCCTTCAGTGGCTTGGCTATAAGCAGCCTCACAAGGGTGAGGGTATGCACCGCTGGGCTCAGGTCGGTATATGGCAGGCTCCTCAGAGGTGCCAGCATCCTTGGGGAATTTGGGGGTCCTACCAAGCACATGGAGTTTCGGTGTGGATCTGCTGCAGGGTCTCAATTTCCAGCAGACTCCCCTCAAAGACCCTTGCTGAGTAACAGTGGCCTTCACTGCGCTGGCAAAAGGCTGAAGGGAGGGTGAGGACCAAAGCAGCTCCCAGCTCGCACTAAGCAGAGACATATACATCAGTCAAGAAGCTTTGAACACCCACAACAGCATGGAAGGGACAGTAGATGCCTTTGCCATCCCCTGCTCACCACAGAGGCAGCTTCTGCCTCAGCTGGACACAGCAGATGCAGCCACACTGGGAAGTGTTCCTAGGTCTGAATTACTAAAGGTGAAACTTCATCCGGGTGCTTCCTCTTCCCTTTCCCTGCACCAAATCCCAGTGCCCACCCTCGGGACACTGCATCCACCAGCTCTGGTTTGCCACACGCAGCCTACAGAGCAGGCTGGGGTGGGGAAACTCCAGTATCTGGGTATCCAGAAGCATCCTCTGGGCCTCCACATCCCTTCCAGCACTGGGATGCGGCTGGAGCAGGCACTGGTTTCCCAGACCCCAAACACAGCATCGCAAATGCCACAGCGATTCCTCTGCCACATTCCTCTGCCTTTAACCTTCCTGCACTCACTGAGGGCTCGGGGTGGTCTGGGGGTGCCTTGCTGTGGTCAGACCCAAAGCGGCTGCATAGGCTGGAGTTAGCTCATGCTCAGCTGCAAACAGGGCTGCCAGGTCTCACCGTGCCCTGCATGGGGGTTCCTCACCCCACTCACCTGCCCCAGCCCCAGCTCTCTGAGCACTAAAGCCAGCAGCAGCCCCTGTGCAAGCACACTGGGGACGCTCAGAGCTGTCATAGGCAAGGACTCGAGGTGCTCCACAGGCAAAGTGCAAAAGCAGTTCTGCCTTCCCCCCAAGCCCAGGTTTCTTAAACTCAGCTCCCTGCTCCATGAAGGCTTGGACCTTTCACGGCCCTTTCCAACCTGGGCTCTTCGATGGTTCCGGGTTTTCCCAGGCGTGGGACACTTCTGAGGCCGCCTCTGCTGCAGCCCACACGGGCAGCGAAGAAGCAGCCCCAGGGCCTATGGGATGAGGGCTGGGAAGCACCAGGGACCGGGGCATCTTGGGGTGCACGGGATCTCCCGGCCCACGTGGCCTGGCCGGGCTGTCAGGAGAGCAGGGGGACCCCCTTGTCCCAGCGCCAAATCCTCCTCCCTTCAGAGCCCTCCCAAGGTCCCGGGGGCAGCGGGTGCTGTTTGTGGGGATGTGCGGCCGGGTGCGGAGCCCGGCAGAGCCCCAAGTCCACCACGAGGTGCCCATGGGTGGCCGGAGGCTGCAGCAACGGCGCGGCTGGCACCGCTCACCCTCGTGGGGACAGTCCCGTAGCTGCTGCGTCACTCGGGCCAAGGCTGCGGCTTCCACCCGCTCGGGACTCCCGGTCCAGCGCTCCCCACCCGCAGCGCTGGGAGCGCCCCGCTCCCTCCCGTGCTGCGAGGGGGTCCCCGGGCCGGCGCTGAACCCTCCCGGTGCGCGATCGCGAGGGGACGGGACGGGGAGCGCGGCGGGGCCCGGGGCGCTCTGCCCGGCCCTGGATGAGGCTCCCCCCCCCCGGCTCTCACCCCACAGCGGGACGGGGCCCGGCGCTGCGCGGCGGAGCCTCTGGAGCCACCCCGGCTCCCGCGGGGAGCTCCCCACCCGCGGCCCCGACCCGCCGACGGCTCCTACCTCCGGGCGGCTCCGAGAGCGAGGCGGCGGGACCCGCGGCTCCGCGTTCCCTTCCCTTCCCCCGGCTGCGGCTCGGTCCGGGCGAGAAGCGGCGCATCCAGTGGGGGGGACCCCGGTGGGCGGGCGGGACGGGACGGGACGGGAAGGGACGGCGCCCCCCGCACTTCCCGGCCCGCCCCGGGCTCCCGGGGGAAAGTTACCGGAGCCCCCGCAAAGGGGGTGGGTGGCGGGGAGGGGGGGGGGGGCGGGAAGCGGGTCCCGGCACAACCGGGCTGCGGGTCCCGCTCCGCCAACTCGGGCGGCGGCGGCGCCGGGAGCGCTCGGGACGGAGACCCCGGCCGGGAGCGCCGGCGGCTGCAGCCACCCCGAAAACCCGGGCTGGATCCTCCCGCAGGCTCGCACGCGGGACACGAGCGCCCGCCGCGGGCCTGCACACCCCGCACCGCCACGCGTGGGCACCCATGGCCGCGCACGGCACCCCGAGGTCCAGCAGCAGGCAGGGGCCGTGTGCCTTGGTGCGCACACGCGTGCACCTGAGCGAGGGTACACCGTGCATCCGTGTGCACCCGTGTGCAAGAACACGCCAAAGAGGTTGTGCACGGGCAAACGGGCACTCGTGCATCCCAAGTGCACAGGGCAATGCACAGAGCACCAGCGCAGCACGTGTGGGCAGGAAGGATGCGCAGCCAACAGTTGACAGGGCCAGGGTCTGACCATCGCCCTGGGCCTTCACTGCATCAGGGGAGAGGCCAAAGGGTCCGGGAAAAGCAGATGGAGATGGGGGACCCACCCCACAGCCAGGCAGTGCGGGCCCAGCACCTCGAGCAGACTGGGTACCGATTGAGACCCTGATGAAGCCTGCCCAGGCACAACAGCATCACTGAGTGGAGACAAAACTCCAAAGTGCCGGACACACCACACGGTCAGAGACTGAATCCCTTGGGATATCTCCCATGGACAAGGGGAGCTGGTGCCTTATGGAGGACAGAGCCAACCATGGCTAGCAGACACTGCTGGCAGCAGTGGGGTGCGAAATGCAAAATATCATAGCGCTCATGGAAGGGAGACAACGAACTCCGGGAAACCCATTCCCTCAACGGGCACCAAAAAAGACGACCTAGGACTAGGCATCACCTAACACTAACGACCCCAAACCCAAACCGTAACCTAACACTAACCAACCCTAATCATAACCCAAACCCTAACATTAACCCTAACCCTAACCCTAACTAAGAGTAACCCAAAACTTAACCCAAACCCTAACCCAAACCCCCTAACCCTAACCCAAACCCTAACCCTAACCCAAACCCTAACCCTAACCCTAACCCTAACCCTAACCCAAACCCAAACCCGAACCCTAACCCTAACCCTAACCCAAACCCTAACCATAACCCTAACCCAAACCCTAACCCTAACCCTAACCCTAACCCTAACCCTAACCCTAGCCCTCACACTCGGCCTGCGGGAGCACGGGCAGCAGCAGCGGCTGGGGCAGGGACCGGGCTGGGCTCGGCGGCGCAGGGCAGCGCCTCCTGGTGGCAAGCGCAGGATCAGCATCCTCCTTGCAGCCGTTCCCCCCGGTCCTCTCCTGCGAACCCTGGTCCCTCCTTGCTCTGCCTCTTCCCAAGGGCTCCCGCGGGCACAGAGCCTGCTAGGAGGGAGCTCCTGCCTTATCCTGTGCGTGCTCAGCTCCCCCGGTGATCCCGGATACACTTCATGTAGGGACATGGCTGTTCTCACCCTACCCCAGTGCTCAACTCCTCCTCCCGGCTTCATCCTGCTTTCCGGGATGACACTGCTGTGTCGTGCGACCCTCGAAGGGGAGGGGAGCTGTACCATGCACCCAGCCTGTCCTCAGAGCCTCTTAGCAGGATTACCCCTGCTGTAGGCACTATGCCTTGCATTAGCTTGTCCTCCCCATAACCCTGTGTGTCATCACGCACTGCAGGCGGCCGGTGCACCGCAGGGATAGCTTCACAGCATGAACCCATAGCACATCTCTAGGAAACACCGTCTCCATTGCCTGCATGGGACCTCCAGTGGGGAAGATTCAAGAGACACCCCTCCATCCACTGGCACAAGGGGAGAACAGCTACAGGCCCCCCCCCAGGATGCTCTGATGGATGGAGTCCCATCCATCAGCCCTGGGAGAGGGCCAGGGTGCTGGGTGCAGGTGAAAGGCATTGCCTGCATCTCCGTTTTGTAATAGGCATAAGCAGCTCAGCAGATTTACTCTTGAGCTGAGTGTGACCCCTGCTAAGCTGGCAGGAAAGGCCCACTGGGCACTGGGGATGCTGTGGGGCCAGCCCTGCCACCCTCCTGGGGTCTGGGGGCTTGCCCCAGGACCATCCACCTCTTCCATCCGCATGGCCAGGCAGGCCCAGGTCCGTTTTGCCCCCAGCTTTGAGCCCCTGGGGTTCAAACAACACGGGTAGCTCCCTACCAGCGACTCCCCCCCTCCAGCTGCCACGTCCCCCACCCCAGCACTAATCTTGACCTCCTGTTTAGGAAAGTTAAAGCGGCTCAGAGCAGGGCCAGATGATCACCCAGATTAAGGACTTAATGGGAGCACCGCAACCAGCTCAGCACCCCAGCTCGGGGCTGGTGGGTCAGCGTGTCAGTGTGTCAGTGAGTCAGCACATCACGCACACGCATGTGAACAGCCTCCCCTCCTATATGTGCACGCGTATAGGAGCATAAATTCACTGAGACGTGAAGATGCTGTGCTGCTGGCGGAGGAAAATAGGGTGTCTGGTGTCTTCATGGGAGGCCTCCCTGCCTGCCCGGCCCCACAGTTACACTGGGGCGATGCTATGGAGAGGGGGAGCAGGGATTGTAAAGACACAACACACGTCCCCATGCACTCACCCAAAATCCATCCCTGCTGCTCTCAGCGCATCCATAGCAGCACACAGCCACCAACAAGGTGCCAGCAGCACACGTGCTGGGGCTGGGGGAGCACCCGGCAGGCTGAGGCATCCTGCCAGTGCCTTATCCCTAGAGGTGGAGGTCTTTTGGGGAGGGTGGGCGATGGCCATGCTGCCCCCACAGCCTGGGGGGTGCCCGCTGGGGCCGGCTGATGAAAGCTGCCCTTTGTCCGCTTGCAGGGCACAGCACAGGGCCAAGCTGGGAAAGCGAGTGGGTTTGTCCCGAGATGAAACGGCCCCAAACTGAGCTTTGAGCGGGCCCTTACGCAACAAGGACCTGGGATCTCAGAGGGATGAGCAGGGGGCATTGCCTCCCTCTCCAGCAGCATCCCACTCCGAAGGCCTCCCCATCACCCACCAGCTTGGGCATTGCCAGGCTCTGCCACTGAGACCGGGGCTCATTGGGTGGTGTTTAGGGAAGCATGTGGAGGGGATGAGGGAGGTCAGTGGGGTATGGGTAGGTACAATCTCTGCTGTTTGCAGTGGGGACACAGGATTTGGGGGGGGGGGGGGTGTCTGTGGTTTGTCCTTTGAGATCACTCAAGCTGGTCAATAACTGTGAGCTTGGTTCAGGATTGATGCTGGTAGGGAACAGTGTTTTCAGGTTGGGCAGTATCTGCCCTGCTGAGAAACACTCCTTTGATGCTCACGTCACAGCCCCAGTGAGGTGGTACCCAGACCCCAGCCCCTGTCCTATCCCCCCCTCTTTCATCCACCCCAGCCCCAGAGCCAGGAGTTGGAGCTTCGAGCCAAGCAGGACCCTTTCCCCCACCCCATTGCCACAAGTGGTGCCAGGAGGAAGGAGTCGGAGCCCGGATGTTGCATTTCCACCCATTTATTTGGGAAGCTGCACCGAGGTATTAAAATAAATTAAAAGCACAGACCATGCGGACGCATCCACGTGTTAGTATCGGGAAGGCCAGGGCAGAGAGGTGGATAGAGAGGATGGAGCACCAGGGAGTCCCAACAGCCGCAGAAACCTCTACCATAGAAACAGTGATAGGTGCAAAACAAGAGGTACAAGTACAAATCTGTACCTTTAGTATGGTCTTAGAGGCAGAGCCTGAGTCAAACCTCCTTGTGTGGCACTAGGCTGGAAGAGACCTGCCTGGGAGGGTGGGCAGCAGGGAAGGAAAGCACAGATGCCAGGGAAATGGATAGGGAAATACAGAGGACCTGGTCAGGAGGCAAGGTCACCCTCCATCGTGCCCAGTCACTGCCGTTTGGGGGTCCTTGACAAAGTCACCCCCCCCCCCCACCATCCTCTTCCTCCGGGGCTGTTATTTGTGCCCGATTCCACCCATCCCAAACACCAGGCCCAAAGGTGATGCAGGAAGCTTCGTTGCAGCAGGGGGGGAAGAGCAGGGCTGCCTCTCATCCTCCAGTTTCCCACTTGGAGGAAAGAGACCCATTCCCACTTTCCCCTCTGCTCTCAAGGAGGCTGAGTCCCAAAGTGTCACCAGCCGCTCTGAATGTGAGCAAAGACGGGGTCCCTCACCCCATAGACCGAAATGTGGGGTCAGCTTGGGAGCGAGGGGTGCTGCCAGTCAGAGCAGGGATGCTCAGAGCCACCAACCACCCCCAGCTCATGCTGAGCAGCCTGATGCAGCCTTGGCTGTGCCCTATGTGACTCCAGGTTCTCTTTGGAGACTCCCTGCTCCCTCCGATGAGACTTTCTCCCCTCCCTCCCAACCTTTCCAAAGGAGTCCATTGCTCCACAGCCTGACCTCAAGGGAGCTTTCCATCTTTCCCCCCGCCCTAAAGAGACAGTCCTGGAGAAGGGGGGTACCCAGCACAGCTCCCTCAGCCCTAGCTACAGCCACAGGCATCAACGATCATGTCAGGGATGTCAGTCTTGACGATGTTGCTGTTGCGATCGAAGTAGAGGACAGAGAGCGGCCGGCGCCGTGTGGGCACGCAGCAAGAGTGCCCCGATGCCTGGACGTTGTTGGCTTTGACGAGGTTGAAGACGGCTGTATGGAAAGAAGAGGCCATCCCAGGGCTGCCGGCCACATGTAGGGGGCACTGGCCCACGCAGTAGTTTATCTGGTAGCCCTCAGGCTTGATGATCCAGTCATTCCAACCGATGTCTCGGAAATCCACGTAGTAGTCCTTGCGGCAGCAGAGGTTGGAGTTCTGGCTGCAGCGGAGGCTGCGCTTGGCCACGTGGTGACCCGGTTCTCTCACCTTTGCTTTGGCCACCAAGAAGGGCTGGTGGGACCAGCTGCCGTTGACTATTGCCATATCAGCCCCATCCCCACGGCTTTCCAGTTCCAGGCGCAGGG